TTTTAATCCTAAGGAAAGAAAAAACCCAAAAAACCCTCTCTCAACAACTAATAGAAAAACTAGACACACGATCAGCAATGATGCAGAGAAACCAACATCACCATCAACCAAAAGGATCTAATTGGTATTTATGAGACATTTCTCTCAATAACATCAGAATACATATACTTTTCAGGTGCTTTTGACGCACATAAAAATAATAGATCACATCCTGGCCCTGAAACATACCTCAATATATTTTAAAGAATTAAAATAATGCAGACTGTCCTCTCTACTACAGGGAGCAAACTAGAAACCAGTAATAGAACAATAAAATGAAAAACCTGCAATCACTTGAAAAGATAAACAACACTCTTCTAGCTGATCAGTGGGTCAAAGGATAAGTCTCCAGAGAAATAAGAAAAAGCACACTGAACTGAATGAATGTGAAAATGCAGCAAATGGAACACGTACAAATTAAAAGTCTCCACGCCTTGCCATGCCTCCTCTGGCAGCTGACCCTTCCCCCATCACTGCCTGGGAAGGGCTGGCAGGAAGGTGCCTTTCCCAAGAGGCTAGAATGTTTGTTCTGGCACTGGGCATACTCCCCTGATGCCAGGCTGCGCCTGCCTGGCTATCTCCCTTCTTCCTCCCCTCTGGGCATGGATCTGTGTGGGAATTGGGCAACCCTGGGGAGTTGTACTTGAAGGGGGTAGGGGCATGATATGCAGGTACCTCAGTGTATAGGGCCCCTCTGTCATCCGGAGGGCTGCTTTGGTCCACGGTGCCCGGGGCATGGTGCAGGGTGAATACAGATTGCCCCATCCCTGTCCAGGTGGGCATGGGTTCTGGGTCAGCTTCTCATACCTCATATTTTCTGTTTGCAATAAATGCCCGATAGCCTGATAGTGATCACCACACTCGAGACAATGAACATATACATCACCCTCAAAAGTTTACCTATGCTCTCTGCAATCTCTCTGCTACCCCTCCTATGCATCTGCTTTCTACAATTTTATGTAACTAGAATCATACAATTTGGATCCTTCTTTTGTCTGCCCCTTTTCACTTAACACATCATTTTAAAATCTGCATTGTTTTGTGTATTAAACAAAGCTGTTGTTGTTTTTTTTTTCCTGAGACTGGATACTTCACAATTTGTTTATCACACCACTTGTTTACAAACATCTGGGCTCATTCTAGTTTTCAGCTACAACAAATAAAGCTGCTACATTCCCGTACAAGTCTGGTTAGGGACATATACTTTCTTTTCTCTTGGAGAAATAGCCACAAGTGGACTGTCTAAATCATGTGATAAGTGTGTGTTTACTGTTTTCTAAAGTGGTTGTGCCAATTAATATTTCCACCAGCAGTGTATAAGCGTTTCCTTTCCTCCATAGCCTTGCCGATATACAGCATGACCAGATATTTATTTAGCCATTCTAACTGGTGTGTAGTGGTGTCTCATTATGGTTTTAAAATTACATTTTCCTAAAGACTAATGGTGTTGACCTTCTTTTCAGGTGCTTATTTACCATACATACACCGTTTTTGGTGGTGTATCTATAAAAATATTTTGTCCATGCTTAGACTGTGTTTGTTGTCTTTTTCTTGGAAGTTGAGCACTCATTTCACTATTCCTGGATTAGATGTATGATTTGCAAATATTTTCTCCACGTCCGTGATTTGTTTTTCATTCTGTCAACACTGTATTCTTAAAAACAGAAGTTCTTAATTCCTGTGAAGCCCAACTTTTTTCTTTTATGGCTCATGTTTTTGGTATTTTATCAAACACCCCTTTGTATAACTCACGTTCACAAATATTTTTCTCCAGTGCTTTCTTTTTAGTAATTTTGGAGTTTTTGGCTTTACATTTAAGTCTTTGTCATCTGTGAATAGGGATAATTTTACTTCTTTCTTTCCCATTTGGGGTGCTTTTGTTTCTTTTTTTTTTGCCTAATTGCTTTGTCTAGAACTTCCAGTACAATGTTGAATAGCAGTGATAAAAGTAGGTATCCTTGTCTTGCTCCTAATCTTAGGGGGGAAGCTGTAAATACGTTATCCCACTACCATCAGATATTAATCTTATTGCAGATTCCTTGTATATGATGACTTGTTTCTCGCTTGTTACTTTCAAGATTCTCTCTTTGTCTGAGGTTTTTGACAATTTGACTCAGAAGTTTTGACTCAGAAGTGATTAGGTTTAGGGCCCACCATAATCTGGTATGACCTCCTTAACATAACAAAAGAAAAGCTGTCTTTCCAAACAGGGTCATATTTACAGGGATTAGGACTTTAATACATATTTTGGGGGGATGCAATTCAATCCACAATATTAGGAATCTGCCCCAGGACAAAGCATATGGTCTTCTTAGGTGTTTTTTGAGCTTGTGTCTTGCCCTAGGCATTCATGTGGCTTTCTAAATTCCCCCATATACGTGGGTGCTTTGCACCCAATGATGCTGCTGTCATGATTTACCTCAGAAGCCCAGGCAAATATAGCAGCAGGGCTGGGAAGTAAAGGGGGAAGGGCCACGGGCACCTGCTGTGATCCGAAACTGCAGTAAGGCCTTCCAGCTGCCTTCCTAAGAGACTCCTATGGGTTCTTTCTTGGGACCCTTACGGCTTTCCTAGTCCTAGAACTCAAATGGTAGAAGAGAACGGGGGTTAAAGTGTATAGTCAAGCAAAAAGATTCTTTAGAGTCTTGGCCCTTCAATATGCTACCATTACGGTATCACAGGGGGCATTTGTGGTTCAGGGTAGAATTCTTACTTTTCATGTGGGAGACATGGGTTCAATTCCCATCAGTGCATCTCACACGCAGTCACTAGCCGTCTGTCAGTGGAGGCTTGCATGTTGTTACGATGTTGAACAGGTTTCAGCGGAGCTTCCAGACTGAGACAGACTAGGAGGAAAGGCCTGGCAATCTACTTCTGAAAAAATCAGCCAATAAAAACCCTGTGGATCATGATGATGCAGGACTGGGCAACGTTTGGTTCTGGTGAGTATAGGGTCACCATGAGTGGGGGGCAACTCAGTGGCAGCTCACAACAACAACATGGTACCATCTGTCATCCTTGATTTCAAGGAGGAAGCTTCAGGTGGTCTTTTTTTGGATGTGGCTGGAGTTCTCCTCTGGTAAGTCCACTTTTTGTTTTCTCCCCTGCTAAATTCATTTGATAGTTGGAACGTGCCTCTTTTTCCATGTTATAGTTCAGGCCATCCTGAGTTACAAATTCTTTTGATCTTAAGTCCAGATTTCCTGGAAAGAAACTTTGATTGGTCCAGCTTGTGACAAGCACCCATTCCTGGTCTAATCTACTATAGCTGTGCGAACGGCACAGGCCCCTGGCTGCCAGGATTCCACGCCCTTAACCAGGTGATGTGTGGATTGAGTCATTTGTTCTGTTTTTTTTCCTGGCTTGGGCAGTTTTGGGTGCCTGGTGCACCCTGTGTAAGCTTCTGTTTCTGAACTTAAATGATGTATTTGCCTTGCTCGTTTATCATTTTCTCCTTTTGGCCTGTTCCTCTGCTCTCGGTCTTCATCTGGCTGATTGTTATTCTTTTAGTGATATCACAGTTTCATGGGATTGGGGTTAAGAAGTTGGTGCAGGTTTGGGGTTGGTGAGCCAGTCTCATTAACATTATGCCCTATGAGCAGTTACACATCCTACTTATAAAAGTGCCCACTTTGAGCACAATGCTAGGTAATGTGGCAGGTGTTAAATGCTAAACTAAGTGTAAAAAAAATTAAAAGTCTTGTATTCCTGTCAACCGACTTCCACTAAAAGTGTGTCTCAAACTAATATAGTTTTTTTATTGTTGTAATTAAGTGAAGTTTACATTTCAAGTTAGTCTCCCATACAAAATTTTTTTTTTTACATAGTTATGAGACCCCAGACATTCACCCCATTCTGTGACAGCACACTCCTCCCCTCCGCCCGATTTCCCATGAACACTCAACCAGCTCCTAACCCTCTCTGCCTTCCCATCTCACCTCTGCACAGAAGCTGCCCCTTTGGTCTCTTATATCTACTTGACTAAGAGGCACATTCTTCCCGAGTATCACTTTATGTCCCACAGTCCAGTCCAATCCCTGTCTGAAGAGTTGGCCTCAGAAATTGTTTTAGTTCTGGGCTGATAGAGAGTCCAGGGGCCATGCCTTCTGGGGTTTCTCCAGTCTCAGAGCATTAAGTCTGGTCTTCTTACTAGAATTTGAGTTCTGCATCCCATCCTTCTCCTGCTCCATCAGGGATCCTCTGTTGTGTTCCCTGTCAGGACGTTCACTGGTGGTAGCCAGGCACCATCTAGTTCTTCTGGTCTCAGGCTGATGAAGTCCCTGGTTTAGGTGGCACTGTCTGTCTCTTGGGCTAATACTTTCTTTGTGTCTTTGGTGTTCTTCACTCTCCTTTACTCCTGGTGGTTGGGACCAATTGATGCATCTTAGATAGCCGCTTGCAAGCTTTTAAGACCCCAGACGCCACTCACCAAAGTAGGATGCAGAACATTTTCTTAATAAGCTTTGTAATGCCAATTGACCTAGATGTCCCCTGAAAGCATGGTCCCCAGACCTCTACCCCTGCTACTCTGTCCCTCAAAGTATTTGACTGTATTGAGGAAACTTCTTAGCTTTGGACAAACCAATATAGCTCTTGAAAACTCCAAAAGTATGGACTATAAAGGCGCTACTGGCCCCCAAGCACTCTCACAGCAAGGCACTCACTATCATGAACCTCTGGCGAACGTTTTGAAAACGTTTAGAAAACGTTCTAAGAAGTACCAAGCAGTACTACTGATGCAAGAGATTACCACACGTAGTAAGTAGTGTGGAGCAATTTGTTCTCCGGAACTTTTCTGGCCTGTTTGGTGGCGGTGGTGGGGAAACGTGAGGAGAAGGGAGAGGGGGACGTTTTAAGCCGTTGCACCTAAAAGCACCGAAGCGGTGGGAAGAAGAAAGGCATTGTGGGGGTTGGCCCTCAGTTTCGGCGGGTTCTGTTAAAATGGCGCCGTTGCTACCAGTGGTCCCTAGTTCTTAGCCTGTCAGGGAAGGACGCCGAGAGCCTGAGCGCGGGACGCGGCGAGGGGGCTGCCGGCTGCGGCCGGTAGGCGGGTCCCTGCGCGCAGCAGCGGCAGGGTCACGGCGGAGACCCGGGGGCGCGCTCCGGCGTGGGGAAGGCGGCGTGCAGCCAGCGGGTCAGCAGCGGGGGCTGCCCGGCTGGGCCAGCCCGCCTCCCTCCCATTCCCCGGCCACCTCCATTTCCAGTGCCGGGCCGAGGATGGCGGCCCCGGACCAGAAATCGCCGAACGTTCTGCTGCAGAACCTGTGCTGCCGGATCCTGGGCAAGAGCGAAGGTAACGGCGCCCGGGCCGCGGGAGCGCGCGCCGCAGGGGGGGCGGGGCGGCTGGGGCCCCCGCGGGTCTGTCCTGGAGGCCGCGC